GTTGGATATAGCGGAGATGGACAAATTGTCAATAATACTACAAGGGAAAAATATGACCTTTTTAGAGAAAGATGGAACAGATTATAGACGTGGTAAGGTAAAAAATAATGTGATAGACTCGCTGTATGTAATCTTAATATTGTACCAGATACACCTGTTTATGGTGAAGTTAAAATCAATTTTTTTTAATTCTATGGGATAACAGTGACCACTGAAGACAGATCTTGATTAAGAACATTTGCAGCATGGCGGCTGCTTATAAATACAATAAGTGCTGGCTACAACTGCATGGAAAGCTACTTGTCTGTAACCTCTATCTCTTCAGTGAGTATTAATATGTCCATGCAACTGAATGGACATGTGGGTCAGCAAGGATGTGATAATGCCTATATGATTAGGTGATGCTGCCTGGTTTAGAGCAACATATTGATCACGCTATGACTACAGCATCAAGTATACACTGGTATGGTATGTGTGAATTCTCCCATCATTTGGTGTGACTTCAAATGTCATTCCATTCACATTTTCAGCTATGTTGAACAATCATGAGACAATAAATTAAGTAATATGTGGGTCTGTGTTACCCAGTCTAAAATATTACTAGCTCTCTATGCAGTTTATAAGCACACTCTCTATCCAGAGGTGTTGAGCTCATTTGTTACAATGGCGGGATGTGACATAAATGTCACTTTGTCAGGCTGGGCCATGTGTGCCATAAAATGTAATGCTGGGTACTGAGATATAAACTTTGTAAAGGACACAGGCAAACCCAATTAACGATATTATTTTTACTCAAACTACAAACAAAAGCAATTGATTCCTAACACTGAAAGCGACTGATTCACTGGGGAGTCCAGAAAACCCCCAATAAATATATTTAATTATATGCAAAACTACGTTTTATTCCAAGGGATGCCATAAAAGGAGGAGTACCTTATATTTTCATACATACCAGTTGCTTGAGGGCCAAGTAAGAGCCCTGGGCCTTATTCATTCATTCATATTTATAGCCTGTCCTTCCCACAAATGGGCCTAAGATGGAAAAAGGCAGACCTGAAGACTGCGGTAACCTGGGCCTCCATAGAAAGAGAGGCATCCAGCGTTACTCCCAGGCTCTTCACTTTCTGGGCAGGCACCAAAGGCATCCCTTCCAGAGTGGGGAGCCTGATACCCACATCCACCACCACCCCAATTTAGGTGCAGGACCTCCATCTTCAATGGATTAAGCTTCAGCTGGCTCTGCTGTAACTATCCAGCCACAGCCTCCAAAGCCTCGGCCAGATTACCAGGAGCGGAGGAGGGATGGCCGTCCAATAACAGATAGAAATGGGGGTCATCTGCATATTGATGCCAATCTACTCCATACCTCCGGACTAACTGGGCGAGGGGGCGCATATAGATGTTAAATAACACTGGAAAGAGGATTGCCCTCTGCGGCACTCCACATTTCATTGGGTATAGCACGGAGACCCTCTCACCAAGCACCACTCTCTGTCCCTGATCATGGAGAAAGGAGGAAAACCATTGCAAGGCAGTACCCCTAACTCCTATGTCAGCGAGGTGGTGGGTCAACAGACTATAGTCGACCATGTCGAATGCTGCTGCTAGATCTATGTTTGACACCCCTGCATATACACCATACATAATTCTGTGAATTCACCCTAGTCTGATTCATCTCATTGGTATACAGTGTAATTGTAAAAAGTATAAAGTGTAATTGGATTTTTTTTTAAGACAGAAGTTTCAACTAAGTGTCCACTGATATGTTTCCTTGATTTTCTGATTTGCTCACTTCTTGAATCTTGGGGACTCAAAAGGCCTTAAAACAACAACCAACCAGGAGGTTTGGGTAGGTCTGCCTAGGTCCCTACCAGCTGACTGCTTAGTAAAGCACTGAGCTCATCCCAAGTAAGCGCATCACAGCTTCATCTTCAGCATTCCTCATCCTTATTCTCAGACCTTCTTTTGGCTCTCTGTGTGGCAACCTCCCCTTGTGGATGCTCAGGGGGAAAACCTCCATTTCTCTTTAGAAATATCATCTTTCCCCCAAAGCAAAGAGATGATGTTGTACCACATGGCAGCCATTTTGTGATTGGCCTTGCCTTGCACAACAGACATTTTGTGTTGACACCCATTATTTCTTTTCAGATTTCATAATTGTCCATAGGTTCAAATAACGCTGGAGACTACTGCTCTAAGAAGGCCAGCTTTCAGTTCACAAGAAAGACTGGCTTGATAGATACCAGGAAATTGGCTTGCAGTATGCTTCCTACCTGATGAAAAAATGAAAAGTCCTTAGCAAATAATACAATGTTTCAGTTCTTTAACAACAAAATCTTTGTGATTGATGTTTTACTTCTCAACCCCAGTTCTGTGTATAATTTTTAACTGTAAAAAGGGAGGACAGTTGCTGTTTTAAACAAACACTTGGTTCTCGATTTTTCAGTCTGCAATGCAGCAACTGAGACCTTTCTGTGTCTTACCCTGAAAGATATGTGGTACATATCAGACATGTTTGAATATCCATGGAATGTGACAGAATGCTGAGGTAGTGCAATGGATTGAGACTGCAGATGAAGATACTATATTCAAAGTTCTCCTACATTAGAGTTCTCCTTATAAATGGGAAAATAGCATGAGACCTTTCTGGTGGATGTACATTTTTTAACATTTACAGAAAGATTCTAAATGGGGGAGCATTAAGAATGTGTTCTCCCCTCCAAAGTCTGAGTGGTACAGTCCATTCTACCACCCAGAATTCTTTCTTCTCAGATTGCTGATCTGTGTAGAGCAGGTCTAATTCTGCAATCCTCTGGACATTTGCCAAAGACGCTAGGTGTGTATTGGATATTATGTTGCATAGATCCCAGTACTACCATACTGTCTCAGCTTGGAGTGCTGATGGACTATTTGCATGCACAGAAATACAGCTCTGGAGAATTTAGTTTGTGTAAGGTACTGTTAAGTCACAGCTGATGTGGAGAGGTCATTTGTCATTGCCCCCCTGTGCATAGCAATTCTGGAATTCCTTGGTGGTCCCCCATCCAAATGCTGACCAGAGCTTCGAGATCTGACCAGATTGGGCTAGCTTAAGCCATCCAGGTCAGGGCTCAAAGAATTAGTACCCAGCCATACTTGGGAGCTGCTTGCTTGATACAGTCTTTTGTGTCTATGCCTAGTTGCTGGAAGATATAGAACAAACTACAGGTCTAAGATAGAGTATGGCTGCGAGAGGTGGACTATAAGGAAGGCCGAGTGCCGAAGAATAGATTCTTTTGAACTATGGTGCTGGAGAAGACTCTTGAGAGTCCCTTGGACTGCAAGAAGATCCAATCAGTCAATCCTAAAAGAAATCAACCCTGACTGTTCCCTGGAAGGCCAGATAATGAAACTGAAGCTCAAATACTTTGGCCACCAAATGAGAAGGGAGCACTCTCTGGAGAAGACCCTGATGCTGGGAAAGATTGAAGCTCAAAGAAGACGGGGACGGCAAAGGATGAGATGGTTAGACAGTGTCATCGATGCAACGAACACGAAATTGAGCCAACTTCAGAGGACGGCGGAAGACAGGAGGACCTGGCGTGATTTGGTCCATGGGGTCCCGAAGAGTCAGATTCGACTGTGCGACTGAACAACAACAAATAGCACTACTGACAGCAGTTTCTGAGTCTCTTCCTAACATCAGTTTCTTCTGTGGACTAGTCCCTTCTGCTTCACTGTAAGATGGAGAGAGGAATTGTTGGAAAGATGAGTTACGGTGGATGCAGAACTAGTTTGCTGTCTTGGGCAAAAAATTATTTTGCACACACATATCTGGTTGTAAGTGGTGTGTCATGTCCTCAAGAATGTTTCCCGATTGCAGCTCCGTTTGCTATATTTTACACAGGACAGTAAAGCAATGATACTTACCATGTTTAGCAGGGCTCTTAAGGACATATAAAACTGCTTCGTACCACTGATACTTTGGCACTCTACCAGTACGTCAGTATTGCACCTTGTCTAGTAGCAGCTCTTCACAGGCTTAGGCAGAGAAAAGCCTAACGCCCTCAACCTGAGATCTAGTACAAAGCATGCGATCTGCCCTTGAGCCACACCCGTTCCGCCTGTGTACTCTTACTGGCCCGCAGGCAGCACTTAGCATTTTTACCCGATGAATTTCTGTTTGTAAGGCAGATGATAAAAACATAGAAATTCTCCTAGGGAAAAAAAGCTGATAACCATAAGGAAGCAAGGAGGACTTGGCTTGAACAAGCTTATTGTAGATTATTTCCCCAAATTCTCCCCTGGCCTTTGTTCAGTAACTCAAAGGTCTTTATAAGCGTTAAAGGTCTTTTGGGCTTTTTTTTTAAAAAGAATTTTATTGAAATATCTCAAAAATATAATAAGAACAATAAACTGTTAACATATAAGACCATCACTATGTCCATCCCAGATCAGTGGTTCCCACGCTGGGGGGCAAGGAGTGGCGGGGCAACAGAGTTATTGCAAGAGGTCCGTGAATTGATGGGTGCACTAAACATTATCATGTTGATCTTTTTTTGTCACTCAATCGACGGCTACTAATAGTACAACTGCTATCATGGGGGCGTCCGTAAAAAAAAATGTTAACAAAGTTCTCACACTGGGAAAGGATGGGAACCAATGTCCGAGATGCGCTATTGTCTGGTGCCCAATGAGCTCTACAAATTCTGTATGCGCGTGCTTTTAGAGCATTACGGGCACTGCTCTGGAAAGCTTGCTTGAGGGACTTAAAGACCAAACCCTTAGGAGCAATACGGTCTTTCCCCCTGAATTTGTCTTCTCGCCCTAGGTGCATGGAGGCGGCTGCAGACGGGCCCACTTCTATGGCAGGGGGAGGTTGCTGCTGCGGTGGCCGAGTGGAGCGGCCAGTTCCATCAGGGAGTTGGCTGTGGGGGTAAGGGGCTGGGAAAGAGAGCAACGGTGGAGAGCAGGAGGCGGATCCAAGCAGGCGGCCCGAGCTGGGACCTCCAAGGGGGACTGAGCCCGTGGGGCTCTAGGTGCCCGGCTCTGCGAGGTGGCCGAGCCTGGACACGGCGGTCAGGTAAGGCAGTGGGCTGGGCGGGCTTCCTGTACCCGAAGGAAAGGTGGAAAAGCTTTGTCGCTTCCCCCTTCCCCAGTTACAAGCAGGGCACCGGGGATGAGACCATTCCCAGCACTGGGGAGGCGGAAACTGTGTAAGGCAGCGGGGGTAGCGGCGAGCAGTGTTGCCCCTGCGAACGCAGTAGCCGTAAACTGCGCGGGGGGGGGGGGGTCTGTGCGCTGCGCGCGCTCTACCCTGGGGGTGGAAGAGGAGCGCAGTGGATCGGGGCTGAGCTTGGTCTCGCGTAGAACCTGGTGGGAAAACTCCAGGCCTGGAGAAAGGATGTCGGCTCCCCCAGCCCGCCCTTGCGAGTCCGGGGAGAGAAAAGAGGGCGTTCCCCTCTGCCCGGCTCTTGCCTTTGGCTCTTCTGCTTTGTGCAGAGGTAACCGAGCCGCAGCCGGGGCAAGCTCTTTGTTCTGGGGCGGATAAAGAGAGAATGTGCTGCTTCCTCTACCCTCTCTCCCACCCCCAACACTTACGTTGGCCGACTGTTTGAGATCCCCTGAAACAGTTGCGTGGAACGCTAGCGAAATGCTTAGCTTGGGTATCGTAGGCCGGAAACAGCATTTACGTTGGGTTTGTCGAAGAGGGAGGTTGTGTTGGGCAGGACCAGATGAAGTTGCTCGAAGGCCGGGGCTGGCGATGCTGAGAACCCGCGCTTGCTCTTTGGGCGCGCTGGAGCGTAGGCAGAGCAGATGCTTCCTGATCGGGGAATGATTAATCACTTCACCATTGTGTTGGGTGACCCAGTAACGACACGCAAGATCGGGGCCTCCTGCGGTGGGCGGGGCGTGGACTCCCGCTGTCAAGTGCCCTCTCTTCCCGATCGGACACAATGGCCTGCCTTTTGTTGTTAGAATCGCGTCTTGTATTGGATGCTTTTCAGCTGGTGTGAACTTCTCGGCTGGGCCAGCTGGGGCTCGGGATCGGTGAAGTTTTTGCCCCCCGGTGCCTTATGTGACTAGACTGTAAACAATGCAGAAGGAAGGGAGGCTCGCCTGAGGATATGTCCCGACGCTCCATAGTATTGCAGAGACTTGCGAGGTCGATATTGCGTGCATTTGATAGCCTTTTATAAACTAGGACTAATGAAGTGGTGCAATGAGAGGCTTTTTCTGGAATTTCAGAATTTTTTTTTTGGCGTCTTGCCTTTTACACCTAGTTACTGGGAGCTGTTTGGATGTGGAGAACACAGCAAATGTTTTGGCAGGCTTCTTAGCGCTGGATCTCATAAATGTAGGTCCTTTAATTAATGTGTGGAGACACAGTTAAAAAACAAAACAAAAAACCTCTCCCTTTTGGGAGGTACAGAGGAATGATGCATATTGGGATTTGTAGTTCTATTTGGGTGCAGCAGTATATTAGATATCTCTGGCTGACAGCAAATTTTTAATGGGGGCCATATTTTCAACTGAGCAAAGGCTGAACGACCAGCAAGACTGACTGCCCACTGATTCACTTCCACACCAACCATGACACCAACCCCTTCCCCACCTTGAACAGCAACAGAGGCTTTGGCAGAGCCCTTTCCTTATGTACCTTAGCTACTCAATCTCATCTAGAAACCAAAACAGTAGAGAGTGAGGAGGGAGGGCTTTGTCAAAACCTCTCAATAGACTTTCTCTTTTTGGGGGGAGGGGGGGAGGAAACACAATGAGTCTGTTGGGTCAAATTTCAAAACGTGTTCAATAAGCTGTGTATAACTGAGGCAAATAATCTCTACATTTGTTTTTCTGGTAATCAAAATGATAGCTATTTTCTGTGAATGGTAGCTGCCAGCTTTTCCACAGATCACTCACCATTGAGTTGGATGGCACAGATTCATACTTCAGTTGCCCTAATGTCAATTTTAAACATGGCAACTGCGTTTTCAGAACAGGCGCCATGTCCTCCTCCCCACACACAAATAGCCAGAATGGGTTAAGCAAACAAGCCTCAAACTACATACAGTTAAAAAAACTTAAGATGAGTTTTAATTATCCATAACTTACAAAAAATTGCTCTACCGTATGTTATGGCTGACTGTCTTCCTCAGTGGTACAATAAATATTATCACGCTAAACAACCTCTGATTAATATAACAAGCATCAGGTAATCACCACATACACATGTATCCAGATCTCTCATATATCAGAAAGTCTCCTCATGTTTACTACATATTCCGGTGGTCATTTTGTAGAAAAAAGAGGTGCAGGAGCTCATTAGCATAACTCATTAGCATAACTTATTTGCATATGCCACACCCCCTGACATCACTGGAAGTGTGTCAGAAGGCAACACCCACCGCTCAGGCTCCACTGGACTGTTTTGGATTGCTAGCTATGGGGGGGGGGAACATGCAGATCTGTCCTCACAGAGGAGGGAGAGCTTGTACCTGAATAAAACTTGGTCTTAAAGGTGCCACTGGACTGTTTTGGGCCAGGGGGCTCTGCAGCTTACCTGGCTGCTTCTCGCTCTGACTGAGGGCTGCTGGGAGCAGGGGGTGGGGCTTGTTGCATGTGCCCGCCCCCTGGGCTCTTTACTGCCGGAGCTCCGCTCCTGTGCGCTCCTGCAGGAAATGACCCCTGTTGTAGATGTGTAATAGAGTTGGAAGTGAGGGAAATTCTTACAGTATACATTCATAACAAGGCTTCTTTGAAGTCCTGTCACTAATATATGAGATGTAGGCATATAACCAGATCAAAAAATGGGTAGGATAATATTTGTATAAGCACCCAACAGCATTCAAGATTAACTGGAGGAATTCTGCTCAGATATAGAGGCAGTTAACTCAGTATTATTGGGAAGACTCACTGCTCCCCCTCACACTCACCATGGACACCTTCCCTAATTAACTGCCCATGTTTTATTAGGGAAGACGGCCTCCTGTTTTGGAAAACAGGGCAATAGATACAATTGGTAAATGTGCCATAAGTTTTGGAAAATACATAGAGGTGAATTTCCAACAGTTTGACATGTTATTTATTTATTTACAAGATTTATATCCTGCCCTTCTTCCCCTACAAGGGCAATCAGGGTGGCAAAGAATTTAAAACATACATGATAAAATTACATTATAAAACTATTAAAATCAACCCCTTCCCAATACCCCCTTAAAAAAACATAAAATACATACAAAATGTAAAAACATTGGTTAGGAAGGAGGAATTGTTGAGGGAATGCCAAATGAAGCAAAAAAAGTCTTCCCGCTGTTAGCCTGTTATAAGAAATCAAAACAAAAATGGTGATATGATACCTTAAACATCAATAGATCTATTATGGCATACGTCTTTGTGGACTACAGTCAATTTCATCAGATGCATTTGATGTGGACTCTAGCCTACAGAAGCTTATGCCATAAAAATAAATCTATTAGATTTTAAGGTGCTGTAAGACTCCCTTTTGTTCATTTTTAAAAGGAGACATATACTAATGAAGGAATATTCTTCAAATATATTCGACAGAAAGTTGAACATACTTTTGGAAGAGCCAGATAAATGTCGGATGAAATGAAATATTAAGCATTTTTAAGATTCCTTGCCTTTATGCACCTTTTGGTTGTATCAAAGCCTTGCCATCTTTAGAAGAGCTTCCAGAGTAAAACCAGTCTTGTGGCACCTCAGAGTCTAAGAAATTGCTTGTGGCATAAACTTTTGTGAACTAAAGCCCACTTTGTCAGATATGTGGTTAATTAAATTGGCAAATATACAGGTATCCTGAATACCAGGAGAAGAATTTTTAGAAGCCAAGCAGTGCAAGAGCTGTAAGAATGTTACAGCACTATGTGGAACACACATTTTTAAAAGGTTGGTAAAACTGGCTCTCTTTCAGGTGGCATTTCCCCTGCCAGCAGGGGTCATTTCGTAGAAAAAGAGGTGCAGGAGCTCATTAGCATAACTCATTAGCATAACTTATTTACATGTGCCACACCCCCTGACATCACCGGAAGTGTGTCAGAAGGCAACACCCACCGCTCAGGCTCCACTGGACTGTTTTGGATTGCAAGTTCTTGGGGGGTGGGGGAACGTGCAGATCTGTCCTCGCAGAGGAGGGAGAGCTTGTACCTGAATAAAACTTGGTCTTAAAAGTGCCACTGGACTGTTTTGGACCGGGGGACCGGGCGGGGGGGCTCTGCAGCTTACCTGGCTGCTTCTTGCTCTTACTGAGGGCTGCTGGGAGCAGGGGGTGGGGCTTGTTGCATGTGCCCGCCCCCAGGGCTCTTTACTGCTGGAGTTCCGTTCATGTGCGCTCCTGCAGGAAATGACCCCTGCCTGCCAGACTGAACTAGAATCAGCTGCTGTGTTCTGACTAAAATGTTATTTTAGTTTTTCTGCTGGATTTTATTGTTGCTCAGTAATTGTGATTTTACAAGACAGTATTTTATTATTTTTGTATTAACTCTCAGAGCTTTGCCTAGGAATCTGTAAATTTGGTGAGACTGTTTGGCTTTCTGTTTTTTTAAAAAGAAGTATATTTATTATAATGTTTTGATCAGTAGAATCTATAGCGGACAAGTCTTTCTTAATACAAGAAGTCATGGTTGTGTTTCTTGCATTGTACACCACATGTGTAGTAGAAAGTACACCAAGAAGCAGACTTTCAGCACGCCCTCTGTAACAGCTTTGACTAGATCCATCAGTAGAGGTCACTTTGGGTGAACAAATAGAAAAAGGCTAAACTTAATCTCCCCTTACTCCTTAAGATAATGACAAATATCATAAGAAGGAAACATTCCAGAAAGGTGAGTTAGTTTGTTGCACTTGAAGCAACAGTCTACTGGCAACTCAAAGACTAACCCATTTATTTGTGTCACAAGGTTTCATGAATCAGAATCCAGTTTGTCAAATACAAGAAGTGTTACTTCATGCTGGCAGAAAAATGTATGGATACATAGGTACAAACATAAGAAGGGTTGAGGAGAGGGGAGTTATTAAAAAGTAAGGCCAGAAGTAGTTTCACATTACTGTGCATAGCGTGAATGA